TTGTGGTACTCGATGCACCGCTCCTATACGAGTCTAACATCTATACATGGTTTATCGACAGGGTTGTGGTGGTGGGATGTAAAGAGGAGGAGCAAATTGCTCGCCTTGAGAAGCGCAATGGATTCACACGTGAGCAGGCGATGCAACGCGTACGAGCTCAGATGCCGATAGAAGAAAAGTGTAGGCGTGCTGACTACGTCATCCGCAACAGCGGAACCCTAACGGAATTGTTTTTTTCCGTCAAAGACAGTGTAGAGTGGATGCGCCAACAGTCTGGCTTTAAGATGAATACTATTGTTTTTGTTTCCGCCGCAGGCGGTACTGTGTGCCTCGCGGCTGTGGTGCATTTGCTTTGCCATCTGCTATGGTGACAGTAGATGAAAGGGGAAGGACGCCTTTAATGATGCAAAAATAAAGATATTATGGGGCAGGTATGGGGTTTGCAGAATTTGTTTTGTATTCTTTGCCAGTTTTACCTGTTCTTAGTTAACGGAGCTTTTGTGGTGTTCTGCTTCCTTCTGTTACGTCGATATATATATATATATATATATATATATATATATATATATATATATATATATAATGTTTTTCCCTCGCATCTTTCCTTGTGGTTTATTTATTTCTGTTTGTGCAAAGAAAAGGCTTTTGCTTACCTATCCACTTCCTCCGTCTCCCTTCTGCGTGTGCTACCACAACGACGAGGGCCGCAAGAATGACTGAGTGGCCCGTCAACCGTGTGCGCCAGGAGTTTCTGAAATTCTTTGAGCAGCGAGGACACAAGTTTGTCCCATCTAGCCCTGTCGTGCCAAACAATGATCCCACACTGCTCTTTATCAATGCCGGCATGAATCAATTTAAAAATCTTTTTCTTGGCACGGCAGATCCCAATACGGAATTTGGTCGCCTTACCCGTGCGGCGAACTCACAACTTTGTATTCGCGCAGGCGGTAAACACAATGATCTGGACGATGTTGGTCGTGATACTTACCATCACACCTTTTTTGAGATGTTGGGTTCATGGTCGTTTGGTGACTATTTTAAACGCGACGCAATCCGCTGGGCATGGGAACTTTTGACCGAGGTGTACAAGCTTCCAAAGGACCGTCTTTATGTGACATACTTTGAGGGGGACCCTGAAAACGGCATAGCAGCCGATGAAGAGGCGAAACAATTGTGGTTGGAGCTTGTGAAACCCGAGCATGTTATATCTGGTAATGCCAAAGACAACTTTTGGGAAATGGGCGATATAGGACCTTGTGGACCTTGCTCGGAAGTTCACTTTGACCGTCTGGGTGGTCGCAATGCGGCCGAGCTGGTGAATAAGGAAGATCCAATGGTGATCGAGATTTGGAACCTTGTTTTTATGCAATTTGAGCGTCATGAAGGCGGTGTGCTTGTACCGTTGCCGAAGATGCATGTAGATACAGGCATGGGGCTCGAGCGACTGACGTCCATTATGCAAGGTGTGCACTCGAACTACGATACAGACGCCTGGACGCCACTCTTTGAGGCCATTCAGGCGGTGACGGGTTACGAAAAGTCATATGCCGAAATACGTGATCAAAATGACTCCGATGCAACCGTGGCGTACCGTGTGATAGCAGATCACATTCGCTGCCTCAGTGTTTCCCTGGCGGATGGTGCCATGCCCGATTCTGTTGGTCGTGGTTTTGTGTTGCGCCGCATCATCCGCCGCGCAGTCCGCTACGGTTTGCAGTTCCTTGGCGCAAAGGTTGGCTTCTTTAGTGAACTTGTTGACGCTGTTGTGGCGTCGTTGGGGCCCTTTTTCACGCACATGCAAGATCCTCGCACAGTGCAGCGTATCAAAACTGTGCTTGCCGACGAGGAGGCATCCTTTGCCAAGACATGGGATGTGGGTCTTAAGCACTTCAACAAGGCCGTTGCTGACGCGGTTGACAACACCATCAGTGGTGATAATGCCTTTATTCTTCACGATCGCTATGGCTTCCCTGTGGATTTGACCTGTTTGCTGGCGGAGAATGCAGGGTTACGTGTGGATATGAACGGCTTTCACGCGGCCATGAAGGCAAATCAACTAAGTGCTGGTCGTGTCGCTGCTGCAAAGACATTCCTCGATGTTCACCAACTGGAGGAGCTCAAACAGATGGGTATCGCCCCAACGGAGGATGCCGCCAAGTACATCTGGAAGAATCGTACCGCAGAGGTGAAGGCCATTTTTAACAAGAAGACAGGAACGTTTGTAGACATGCTGATGCCTGGAGAGGAAGGCGAGGAAGATATCGGCCTCATTATGGATGTCACAAACTTTTACGCGGAGTCTGGTGGCCAAATATACGACACTGGGCGCATTGTAGCTGCTGCCGATGCCGTGTTTGAAGTAAGGAAGGTTTATAATCTTGGTGGCTACGTGGTACATTTGGGACGCATGATGACAACAAACTCAACGGCTGTACCTATTCCTGTAACGTCTTCTGTGGATTTGCAGGTGGATTACAAACGGCGGATAGCGATTGCTGCGAATCACTCCATGACACACGTCCTGAACTGGTGTCTACGACGCGTGCTAGAGGACGAAGCTCCTGAGAATTACATGGAGGTTCAACAGAAGGGGTCCCTTGTCACCGAAGAAATGCTACGCTTTGACTTCAGCTACAATAGTAAGGTCAGTCAAGAAGATCTCGTCAAGATCGAGAAGGCCCTTAATGAGAAAATTCAACAGGGGCTAGTGGTGTACCGCAAGGAGGTGGAACTTGAAAAAGCCAAACATATTGTGGGGCTGCGGCAGATGTTCGGCGAGAAGTACCCAGACCCCGTCAGTGTCATTTCTGTTGGCGTCCCAGTCGATGACCTTCTTGCAAAGCCTGAGAGTGCAGAGTGGCGTGCGTACGCTGTGGAATTTTGTGGTGGCACCCACTTGTCGAACATAAAAGAGTCAGAGGTTGCGGTTATCCTCTCAGAGGAAGCACTTATGAAAGGGGTTCGACGGATTGTTGTGGCGACACGCGACGCCGCACGCAAGGCCCGTGCACGGGGGGAACTGCTGGAGAAGGAATATCGTGATATCGTCGCCGGTGGTATGACGGATTCAACCGCTAAGAGCCTCTCGGTCCTGAACAAGAAGGTCGGCGACAGTCTCATCCCGCTCACGGTGAAAAATTCACTGCGGGAGGAAATCGACGGGAGTATCCGGGCTGCCCTTGCCAATGTGAAGGCGATGGCTGCGCAACTGAGGGAGAAGGCCACCGTTGCAGGACGAGCGGAGGCGGAGGCGTATGACGCGGTGGAAAACCCCTTTTTTGTTAAGCGACTCAGCGATTTTGGTGCTGAACGAGAGGCACTGCAGGCATACGCTGATGGATTTACAAACGCCGTGCAGGGCGACGTTGGCGTTTTTCTCTTCGGCACCGATGCGAACAAGGCACTCGCGCTGGTGACGCTCCCAAAGGCGTTTACTGCGAAGAAGCTAAGCGCTGTCGATTGGGCAAAGGCAGCAATCGGGAAAGGTGGCGGTAAGCCGCACGCCGCACAGTCAGGCCTTACCGCTGCCGACGTCGATGTGGCGATGGAGAAGGCGCTTGCAGAGGCCGCAAAGATGAAGACTGCGATGTGATTTGTCTTCGATTACATTCAGGCGGAAAAAATAAACAAACAAAAATGGATAACCAGAAGGTGTGCCCAAACTCGTTGAGCGAGATGAGGGCAGACATGGCATTGATAAAAATGGAACCGGGCAAGAAAGAAGCAAGCATACAAGCAAATAAGAAGGGAAGAGTGGAAGGGGATGAAAATGAAAGGAAAGGAAAGTTGTTGACGACCTTCATTGTCGTTATTTATCATAATCCCTCTTGGGAAGGAGCGAAAGAGTACTCACCAGTTTGGTGGTGACCCATAAAAGCCAAGGAAAGGAAGAAAAAACAAAAAACATAAAAACAAACAAAACAAAAAAAGAAAGTTAGAACGAAAAATTAATCGAAATTATTTGTTGGGCTTGATGAGGAGGATGAAAGAAGGCTAAGACGGGAATTACTTTTCCTTTGCGGTTTGGTTCGGATGGAGATTTGTTTGCTTCTCTTCCTCCTTTGCTGCTGTACTGTTTTTCTTTTTCTTTTCTTTTTTCTCTTTGGGTGGCACGTGGCGAAGGAGGGAGAGAGGGGCATTATTGGTGAGGCAATAAGTTACCCGCCTTGGTGTGTGTATCTTTTTTTTTCACGCAGAGCACCATGTCGGCAGATGAAGCAAAGGATGGAAAATCCCCACCGCCTGTGGAAAAGGAAGAAGCGGCGATGGAGCGGGACGAGAATGACATTGGCCTGCAGCCAGCTCCTATCGCGCTGGTGCTGCGTCACCAGTGGGCAGCCGAGGCCCTGACCGCCATGAAGGAAGAGGAGAGCGTGGACCGTCTGAGCCTTATGCGGTCATATTACAGCGGCTTTCTCGCCATTGTGTCCCAGTCGATTCACACACTGCATCTTGATTCCATCGCCCTTTCTAGGGTGCAGGCGCAACAACAACTCATCACGGGATTGAGGTGCATGCCAGTTCCAATGAACTCCAAAAAGAGAGTCAGTGATTTTGCAGCAAGTAGAACAAGGCGACGACGTGCAGTAGACTTATCGGATGGCGATACAGAACAGGGAGACGATAAAGAGTCTTCGAAAGGTTTTCTGCAGCGTTTGCGTTTGAACAGCTTTCGGCGAATGAATCAAGAGTTAATTGAGAGGCAGCGGCAGGTCGCAGCTTTTGCGACAGGTGAGCTACGAAGGAGTGCAGCAACACGAAGGCAGGAAGAACTGCTTTCCGCAAGAAGGTGTAGTAATGAATACAAGTGTTCCATTGCGAAAAGTATGGCGGTTCGGGATATGCGGGCCCGACAGCGGACAGAAAAGTATGAGGATCAACAGAACACCGTTCAAGCACGGCAATCAAACCTGCAAGAGTCACGCAACAGGCAGCCTTGCGACTCAGCGGCAGAGCAGAAGGAGATGCAGCTGATCTTGAATAAACGCCGAATTCTTTTTGAGAACGCGATGAAGGAATTGCAAAAGGTTGTGGATTGGATAAACGAGAGACACCACGGCGGGTGTGTTGGAGACACAGCCTTTATGGCCTCTGTGGCTTCTTCCATAGAGTCATCCTTTCCGACGGCGTTGTATCAGGCACCTAAGACCCGTTGTAAAAAAAGAAATACGACACCTATACGTGAGGAGGAATACGCGCGGCTGTGTGGTTTGAAGGGGACCGCGATACGGTCTGTTGTTGCTTTTTCAGTGGAATCGTCACCTACTGCAGCCGCACCGAATAACAGCATTGCACGGGAACTGCAGCATTTATGTATTTCTCCAATACTCTGGCACTGATGCGGTTTTTTCGGCGCTGTTGCCTTTCTGGCTTATCGAAATCATTTCTTTACTTTTTTTTTTTTTCCTGTACCAAATCTGTGAAGTCATGATCAACGGGACTGGTAATTAACGCCGGTTTTCTTCTTTTTTTTTTTTTATGATCTCTCTCCACGGGGGAGGGTTGTTGTCTGCTGTTGGAAATTATGCGGATTCTTGATTGCTTTCTTCACACACTTATATATTTTTTCTTTTGCTTTTTTTTTTTTTTTGTAGTTTGCGGAGAAATACCTTGATTGGACTGCCGCCGTGTGCGCGCTTCCTCATTGATCGGTCATAAAGAAATACTGCATGGAGCCTGAGCCAGAGAAAAGATGCGATTGGACGACTGCTTCCTCCAATTGGCGTCAGGAATCCCTTAACAATTCATTGCGGAGAAACCGGAACTGGCTGGGTCGACGACCCACAAGCAGCATTCATCCATTTCACCGCGACAGCCTCTTGGTATACAACTGCAAAAGTCCAAATGATAATAATGGCTCCTGGGCAAACAACGGTATTCTGGTGCCTTCACCCATTCGTCCTCAGATGTGCGCGACGCCGGCGCTTATATGTAAACCGCCATCAACATTGCAATTTAATTTGACGGGCGCGACCATGAAAGATGTTACCAACACGCGCTCTCCTTCCACATCTGGCAAGGTGGCTGCAACCGCCTCTGCGGCATCGCGAGTTTCCAACTCTACCAATTTTGTGAACATTCAATCTACCTTTCAGACAATTTCCCGATCGGGGCTAATCGCTCCTGTTGACAATTCGGCCGCTTCTGATGGTGTTTTCATTGCGCGCTACACCGCTGGAGCACAGGGTGATGACAGCTTCCTGGATAACCAGGGTATGAATGAATTTTTCAGTGGGAGTTGGGATTTCTGGAGGAGCAACGTGAGCGAGAGTGAGTGTCAGTTAATCAAGGGAAGCAGCTGCCCCAACGATGACTCTGTGATCGATTTTGACGTGGCAATGTCGTTTCAGCGCAGCGGTGCACGCAGATGCCGAAAGACAGGGCCTGGCTTTGATGCTGTGCCGCTGAAACCATGCCTTTATACACTGGCACCTTAGACGCTGCCAGGGAGCTCTGGTATAACGGATTTAGGGACGGGGTAAATTTCCCTTTTGGCTGCTGAATGGGAATTATTTGTGGCTGATAACATCGAGCCTTGGGGAATGCCTGGATTTTGAGAACAACGCTCACCCACACGAGCACACACAGAAGTCCATACATAATTTCTTTGTTTTCTTTTTTCTTATTTATTTTTCAATAATTGTTTACTTTTTCTTTTTCTTTCGCTTTTCCTTTTTTTTTTTTTCTTTGTGTGTAGCCGCATATTTTAGGGGGGTATAATATTATTTTTTGTTTTTTTCTTCCTTGAGTGAATGTGTGGTCGTGTATACACACGCCTGACAGTCCTCTTGGTTGTATTATTGTTATTATGATCTCATACTCCTTTTTTTTTTATGTCTTGGCCCTTCTGGACGTTAAAGGAGACTTTACTTGGTGGGCGATGGTGATGTAAGAATTAATAGAGAGTGATGCAATCGGGTCGGAGTTGGCTACTTCTTGCTTGCAAATATTATTACTACTGGGTGGGTGAGGGTCTCAGACACAATTGTTTTTGGGTTTTGTTCTTTTTTTTCTTTTTTTGTGGTGGTGGTGGGTGGGAGAGGGGCCATTTCTTTTATAACGCGGTAAGATCATGCCAAATGTGTATACATCTATATATGTATGTTTGCATACATGTGTGGGCGCCTGCACGCGTACGCCGCACAATAAAGCATACGTACAATATGCATGTGGGGGGGAGCAACCAAACCCTCATGTTCCATTTTATTTTATTTTTTTCAATTATGTGGTGTGCTGCGGCGATGCCGTGAGGATTGCGCGTAGACGTCTGCGCCCCACCATTCACTTCACGAGCTGAGGTTTTACTGAGGAAGGGGGAAAATAAAGAGGAGTAAGAGGGGGCGGGGCGGACGGGCGAAAGAAAAAAAAGAAAAAACAGGAAGCGCCAACAGGGAGGTCTTTATTTACTTATTTTTCTTTGTTTTCCATCTGCGGTATTCATTGTTAATGCCCTTCAAGTGAGAAGAGTGAGTCTTGTGATTTATATATATATATATATGTGCGTGTGCACGAGGATCGCGGGAAATAAAGGAAGCGACTGCGCGTATTTGTTTGTGGGTATGTGGTATGGTTGGTGCCGTCTTTTTGCTCCTTCATGCTCATACCCCGCAGCATTTATTGCCCCAGAGGAAGCCGTTTCATTTTTCTTTATTTTCTTTCACATGGGGTTTAAATTTCCGTATTTTGGCTTGCTTCTTGCATTGCTTCATCTCCTTTCCTCCCTTCTTTAGGCTATTTTCTGTTTATATTTATTTATTTGCTTTTTTTTTTTTTTTTTTTGATTTTGTTCTTCTGCGTCTTGTGCAAATTTTTTTTCTTCAGGGAGCGAGTGTTGTGTGTTGTGTGTGTGTATATATACAAATGGACTTGTTGATGTGATATTAATACATGACCTTTTATTTTATTATTTTATTTCATTTTCTTTTTTTTGTTTGTTTATGTGAATGCATGTGCTTTAAACCATCATGTAGACGTCTTTTTCATCATGCAGCCCATTTTGCTTCTCTGTGATGGCGATGTCGCTTCTCACCGGCTGTCCCCCGTCACTTATTGCCGCCGTTAATTTCTTTCTGCCGCCAATTCACTCTTTCCTTTTTTTTTCCTTTTTTTTTTTTGTGTGTGTGTGTGCGTGTGTCTGTTCTCGCTGACACGTCAAGGGAGTGATATTACGCGGGAGAGGGTAGGCGATGCGGTGGCTGACTCGTGGTGTGGATTTGCAGCGTGCCACGGCCCACGTAGGCGGGCTCCATTTCTTCAGTACATGGAACGTTGCCTTGGCACCAAAGCGTGCGGTAGGGGGGAGGGGTAGGACGCACACCGCCGCGGTCCACGGCAGAACGTCGTCGTTAGAACCGCCACCACCACCGGCAGCGTTGGGCTCCGCACGCAGCAGGAATTCCGCTGCGCTCAGCGGCGGCGACAATAGATTTAGGACAAACAGAAGCGGGGGAAAGATTCCGAAAGAGGCAGCCGCGGCAAATAAAAACAGCGAGGATGTTGATGTTGAGGAAGAGGAACGGCTTCTTGCGGAGGGCGACACACGGTTGGCGATGCGGTTGCTGATGCAACACCACTTCCTTTACCAGCACAATGTGCGGCGGCCGGAGGAGCGGCGACTGGAGGAGGAGCGGGAGATGCTGCGGGAGAAGCACCGTGCGCGCATGGAGCGTATCGAAGAAAAGACAAGAAATGCAATGCAACTCGGGCCGGACGTTTCGGTGGACGGAATTCTGCCGCTTTACGGGCGAGGCAACTCAGCAGCTGCGGCATTGGCTTCCAAGCCGTCTGCGTCGTGGATGCGTCTCAACCCGGTGGAGGCTGAGACAGGCGATAATGATGGGGACGACGGTGAGAGCCGCAGCATAACGGGCGCAATGCTCACAAAGCCCGACCTGTCCGTTTACAGTGTGGAGCACGATCACCGAATTCGCAGCTCAGAAGTGCTGGACGAGGAGCAGAGACGACGACGGGAGGAACTAAAGAGTGGGGATGCGACGAAGAAGCTCTGGTCTCAGGAGGAACTGGAGATGGGCGGAGGTCTGACGCCGCAACGTGTGATGGAGAGCCAAATGCTGGAGGATGAAGACCAGGACTTCGCGGTGGAGGCGTATTCCAGCGACTACGATGAATGAGGAAAGTCTCTCACATGTTTGGTCATATATACATATATGTGTTTTTCGCTCTTTGTTTGCTTCTTTTTTTGCCGTTTATTCTTCCTTTTTTTTTTTTTTTCTATTGATACGAGTACCGCATCATCCAAATTTTTTTTTTTTTTTTTTTGCGCTTGTGATGGGGGTCGCAATGCGCTCATCTTCCACCCACCATCTCCGCTGATGCTGCTGTTGTGCTGGTGGAATGTGGTTTATCACAGCCATTGCATTTCTTTGCTCCATCATTTTTTATTTTTTATTGCCTCCACGTGCAACACCTGCCCTTAGGAAGAAAGGTGGCTTTGAGGAGAAGAGGTGCAGGCGGGGAGAAGAAGTCCACGAGAAAGGAGAGGCGGAGGACGTCGTAGGAGCCATGATGGCACACCGTTGTGCCTTTCAGACAATTGCCAGCCCTGCGCTGACGCAACGCGAAGTGGAATTCACAAAGTCCGCGTGGATTGCCGGACTGCGGCCCGACCAGCGGGGGGCGCAGCAGCTTCGGGAGGTTAATGTTGATTTTCCGCTTCTTTCTAGAGATGTCTCTTGCGTGCGGTGCGGCGGAACCATCGTCACTGCTGCCATTGCGTGTGAGCTCGTGGAACCTTTCCCGTACAGGCCAAAGCACGGTATAATTGATTTCTCTGTGCGGCAGCCGTACACGGAACGTGACAGCAGCGCAAAGACGGCGGAATTGAAGAAATTAACTGCATTTTTGGAGAGACTCATAAAAGGCGGCGGGGTTGTCGACACGGAGGGTCTCTGTGTGCTACCCGGCCGGCGTGTGTGGAGCATCAGTGTGGACGTCACGGTGCTGAACGACGAGGGGAACGTCACCGATGTTGCGGTGTGGGCCACCGTGGCGGTTCTGCTGCACTATCGACGACCGGAACTTACAATCCGAGGCGATTCTGTCATTTTACACCCAACACATGAGCGAGACCCCGTGCCACTTTCCATTCACCACACCCCACTCTCCTTCAGCTTTGCGATCACCATGGCACCAGGCGATCGCAACAGGCTGGCACGGGGCCGCAGGGACAGTCAAGAGGCGCTTGAAGTTGTTGTGGATCCGACTTTTGCGGAGGCGACTGCAGCGTCCTCCTCCGTTGTAGTTGCCGTCAACGCGGAGGGGCAAGTGTGCTCCGTATCCAAGTCGGAGGGCTCCTGCATTCATCTTGACGAGGTTAATCACTGCATGGAGACGGCTTCCCTGCTGGCGCCACACATCTTGTCATTGATTCGGGATGCCATGGCGGCACATGATAAGAGGCGGCAGGAAGCTCTTAAAAGAATGTTCTTGTGGGCACAGAAGCGCAGCGGAGTCACGAGTGAAGCGACAGAGCCGGAGCCTGCAAAGAAGTTGAAGACTGAGACTTGAGTGGTGGGGAATGAATAAAAGAAGACGAGCGAGGCTGTGAGAAGCGAGTCGACGAAATTGCCTGAGCGGATTAAAAACAATGTGAAGTGTGTGTGCGTGTGTATGTGTGGATAAGGGAGAAGAGCCCCATAAATAAGCATAAATGCACCATTGGGGGCTGCCTTTTGGCTTCTGCAAAGGCCGTTTTCTTCCGCCTCCCTGTGACATTCCCGTTTTTCTTTTTTTCTTTCTCTCTCCTTGTGGCAGGAAAAATTTAATAGGTGTTCTTTTTTCTAGTTTGTTTATTCATTCTACGTCTGATTTAATTGCTTATATTGCGATGGACGCGAGTCATATTCAGGATGAAGAGTTGGGTGCCTCAGAGGTGCTGTGGTCACCCGATCTGGACGCACGTTGGCGCCTGCTGCGGCGACACATAACGCCGTTTGAGAAGGACCGCATGGCGTACCACTCTGCCAAATATCAGAAGCCCGTTTTTGTGCATATGAACCCTATAATCTGGCGTCGTCTCGTCGAAAAACAGGGCGCCTATCGCGCTGTGGATCTCATGCTGATGTTGGGCTTCGCACCCGCGCCCGAGGGAGCGGCAAACCTGGTGGAGTGGATTGAACGCGAGGCTGCGGTTGCGGCGCGCGGCACTGCGGGCATGTCCGTGGCTACAACGGCGTCATCATCGTCGTCACCGGTTTCGAACGGTGGCGGGCTTCTTCCTGGGCGGAGGTCACTTGCTCTGCCAACAGTGGTGGGCGACGAGCCGCGCACAAATGGCGGCGTTCGTTTTTGGGTGCTTAACCACGAGGACTCGCGCCCCTCATCATTTGGTTCCCCAGTGAACCAATACATCTCACCCCGTTCCACGGCACCTGGCGCCTGCACCAGCAGCCCAGCACATGGGCCAACAGTCGCGCCAGTCTCATTGCCCGCTGCTGCATCTGCCCCTGCGCAAGCTACCGCCGTCGTTGGGCCGCAGACAGAGGCAGAAGCCTCCGCCTCCCGCATCCGCAACCTTGAGGCGGAGGTGAGGGAACTGACGCGGCAGATACGTCTTTTGAAGTCGCGTGACTCGGATCGGGATGGAAGCGTCCTTTCAGATGTCACCTCACAGAACGAGACGCCACAACCGCACATCATTGTCTCTCCGGATCGTCCGTTCATTGCCTCTACGAATTGTCACGCCCTTGTGTGTCTGCCGGTGAATTACCTCGATCCCGACTGTGCACCGTATGTGGTGTCGCTTGGCGTTTCCACAGGGCGAACACTGCTGGCGTGCAGTATTGTGGAACACCGCTATGTCATCTTTCTTGCCCCGCCGCACCGCCGTGGGTCGATGGCTGTCGTTCTTCTTTGCACGAGAGACGGGACGCTGCGGCCATACACGCGGGCAGTGTGGCTGGAGTACAGGGCCGAAGATCCACCCAATACCCTCACACACCACGCGGTCAACCAGCTCCTGCAGGAAATTCCATTGCCTTCCTCTGCCACAGTCGTTGACCCAAATCCCAGCGAGGTGGAACAGACGAAGAGTGAAAGTGCCTTTGAAGATGACAACACGTTCTGTGACACGGACACCGCCGTCAGTACCTCAGATCAAGGGCTTGAGTCAGAGCCACGCCTGCCACTTACGAAGGAAATGCTACAACTTATCCCCAACGGTATCATCACGGGACCGCGCGTATCAAACGCCGCAAAGTCTGGTCAAGCGAATACGAACGGCACGAATTTGAGTGTGGTTGGAAGTGAAAGCTCGTTATGCGGAGGCGACCGTGAGGGAAGGGCACGGGCAGGACGGCTATGGAATGACAACGACGAGATGAAGCCTGGCAGCGCCTCCATGAGCACTGGACAACCGACAAGTTACCAACGCGGCCCGCAGAGTGGTTTTTCAGACGAGGAGACGACACAACTTGCGTTCAACTGCATGACAAACCGCACCGAAATGAGTAGTTCCAGAGCGACGTCTGTTATTAGTCTTGAGAGCGCGGTACCCAACGGCGGGGGAGGTTTCGCCGGCATTATGGCTTCCCGCGGTTGGGTGCGCCGGTATCTGCAAGGATCGCCGCGTAGCAGCCAATGTTTTGGCACCAACGGGAATGCCGGCTCCCTTTCCGCCACAGCGACGGTATTAGATGAGCAGCTGCAATGCGCTGAATCACAACCTTCGTGGCCAAGAGGAGGGTCCGTGACATCTCAGTAGGAATATTCTGTTGTTTTTACCAATTTGTATCTATCTCCATTGCAATTGCTGCCCATTTTATTTATTTTATTCTAATTTAATTTATTGTGTCCTTGTTAAATCTCCTTTTTTCTCTCTCTCTCTCTCTCTCTTTCTCTGTCTCTCTCTTTGTCTCTTTCTCTCTTTGTTTGTTGTTGTTTTAACATTTTTGTTTTCCTCTTTCTGTTCAACGCCAAAATATATGTGCATGTGAGTTTCTTCTGTATTAACACACACACACACACGCACACACACACACGTGTCTCTTTTTTCGGCCCTAGTAAGGAATACACACGTTAGACATATACGTTCACGCATTTCATTTGAGACGAAGAGAAGTAAAAGGAAGAAGAAAAGGAAGAACGAAACAAAACAAAACAAAAAAGAAACAGGAGTAGATACACTGCCTGTCTGTGTGTGCGTTTCTCTTTTTCTCTCTGTGACGGGAATGTTGACAACGCGACAACTGGTTCCCTCTTCTGTGGCACATATCGTATGTCCTCTTCTTCTTGAAGACGGCACTACCGTTTTTCTCACCGCCATGGGCTCCTTATTAAAAGTGCAGCAGCCCGTCTGGAAGACCGACCGCGATGGGAACGAGAGCTGCGTATTTGTCCCCACAAGGGACGAGCTGCACGTTGGGAGTGTCGCCGTTGCTCTCGTGGCGTGTGCGCATCAGTGTTTTGTGGTTCTCACACAGGACTGTGAGATTTTAGTTGGGCGATATCAGGCAAATTTGCCTGCGCCCCCCAACTCCTGGCTTTGCAATGACGTCTTACACCACAGCAATGCGTGGATTGTTCTGTATCGTGGAAAGTTTTCAGCCAGTCAAGCTGGTGGGTCTTCCATGCCGGATGCTCGGCCGCTTTTTGCCACTGGTATCAACGGGACGACGGTGCAATGTAGCATCCTGCGCGGTGTGATGCACACAATAATCATCGGTATCCCCAACAATGCACCCGACACGTTTTTCCGGGAGAAGTGGCTTTTGAGCATTCCTCAGAGTGTGGGACCTTTCTCATATGGTGTTGCTCCGTTTAGACGTGATGTGATCGAGCAATCCGACGAGGAACTGCTCATGCAGTGCACGGTCGCAGAATTGGCAGAGCGAAAACATTTGGAGAGTCCACCACCCGTTGCGCAGTCGTATGGTTTTCCGCCTGTCTCAGTGACTCTGCTTCACCGCAATTCGGATGACCGCATAATGTCTATGGGTCCGATGCCAGCAAAGCCTTCCCAGGGGCCTGAAAGCTTTGCTTTTGTTTTCGCCAATCGATCATCGTTGAGTGTGCTTGGGGTCTTTTCTTCTTCTTCACGTGGAAAGCTTTTGAAGAATCTGACTGTAAGCGGTTCCCCTTATTTTGCATTAACTCTTCCAGATCGCATGTTAGTTCTTTCGCTACTCGGGTGCTTGCATGTGTTGTCTATTTTGGCCATTGATGCCACAACGCAGGGCGCCATGCTCACCATGGTAAGCGGCCACAGGACAGTGCGCATCGCACGCAGTATGCAGCACCCGTTTGCTGCTGTGTTGCTGCAAAGGTGCGGTTCCTGGGAGGTGCTGTGGCTGTTGCTTGAAAATGGCCTTCTGACGGAGGTGTCCCTCGAGATCTTGCAGTCGTGCAACGGCAATCGTGATATTTGTGACGCGCCTAACATTCAGTCAGGGGATTGTGAAGATGGCGAGTGGCCCATTGCGTGTATTAGAGGTTTGCCGCACGGTTTCCGCGCCACATCGATTCTGCCGTTTAATCGTGGTCACAGCACAAATTTCCAGCCGCACTCAGTGACTCAGCGTTACGTGCTGCTGGGCGACGGCATCTCTGACACGTACATTGTTGATCTCGTAGAACGATGCGCCGTTGGCGGTTTACTGTCTCATGGCGCCATGACATCGGCTTGCTCTGGCCCTGACATGGACATTGTCGTCACGTATTCAAAAGGCATGCTGCAGCGACTATCGCCCGGCGTGATATCCCCTTTGCGAGTCCATGCGGCATTTGCTGGCGTTCATCAGATGTACGCATTACCACACATGAACGCGTCGCGATCATTGAATTTGACCCTTTATTTTTTGGTGACCACCGCCACCCGCACAGCTCTCTTGCGAGGAGCGGCAGGGTGCATGGAGGAGTTACAAGAAACGGAGGAGTTTGTCTTGGATGAGCCGACCCTTGCGGCGTTTTCGGCACCCCCAGACGATGAAAAGGCGGAAGTGTCATCCCCGCCGTCACTTTCTTTTGCGCAGTGCACGCCTACATGTCTGAATCTTGCGGGTACACGCAACTCTCTGAGAGAAATTCTGTCAAGAATGGATCGCGCGTCAAATGCATGCTTTGCCGGAGACGAATTTCTTGCCGTTGCGGATTCTCAACGCGTTACAATTCTTTCGATCAAGGGCAGGAAAACTCCACATGTCATTTTGCAGGAACGTGTGTCAGGTGATGTGTCGCATTTGGTCGCATGGAGGCTACCGGAGTCTTCCAAATGGGCCGTAGCATCGTGCTTGTGGTCACAAGAGATCGTCGTATGGCTGCTGGGCGAGGGTGACACGAAGCGCCACGTGTTGCCTGTTGACGCTGTTGTTTTGTCAGGTTTTCCAGTTATGGATGGCGGAGTGGGACTCAATTTTATAAACCGCACGGTTGCAGTGTTGCGTTACGCCACGGTGGAGGGTCTTCCTTTCCTCACGGCGATGGAGGATGTTGACGGCGGAGCATTCCGGGCGGAAATGTGTCTGCCCGTGACCGCCGTTTGTGGGCTCGTCGCCCGCCCCCACTTTAATCTTGTGGCGGTCAATGCTCACGTGGTGGAGCTGTTGTTGCTGGGGCCCGCTGCTGTGGTGGAGGAACAGCTGCGTGTCGCGTTGTTCCCTTTGCCGTTGGATTGCAGGAGCGGCATTAACGATAACAGCAGCGGGAATGACGAGCGGACCTCTGCGGATGGGGCGTGCGTGCGTCCCAGGCCACTTCGTTGCGGCTTTGTTCTTTATTTTTCTGCCGCATCCTTTTACATGCTGGTGCTATCGGATGGCATGGGCATTGCCATGTGGTCTTTCCCGGATCTCGTTCCGCCAGGTTCGACAAACGCAACCCGTTTTCGTCGAAGTGGTGCTTTGCAGCGAGGCCCCGTGAAGTACCAAGAGTCCCATGCACTACAACTGCCTTTCATCACGGCCCATGACCACAGGCTTACCAAGGCCATTTACATGCCCCTTTCCAACACCATTGTGGCGCTTACAGACCGGGGGGAGGACATCTCACTTGTTAGTGCTGTGGATGCAGAGGCGTTTCGCGTGGTTGATGGACTTCCGATGGCATCAAAGGAGATTCCGATGTGCATCGAGTCACTCTCTGGTCCTGTAGTGGATGTTGTTGTTATTGGCACAGCGGTGCAGTCAGCTGGAGTCACGACCGACCCTACATCGGGGCGCCTGTTGCTTGTGCATGTGAAGCCGCTGCGCGTATCCTCAGTGGCTTGTATCACAAATGGTGGAGCAATTGACATCTCTGTGCAGGGCTACGGTGGCGATCACCTCATTGCGGTGGCCAGCATGGACCGTGTGTTAGTATATCGTCTGACAGGACTTACTCTCTCGCCTGTCTGTTCTGCAGAAATGAAATCTGCATGCACGACGGTGGCATTATGCTACCCTTTTCTTTCCTGTGGGTTATATACATGGGGGACTCAATACATGCAGTTGTTGCCACGGGGCAGGGCTGGTGGGGATGCGGAGGAGTGGGAAACTGTTTCCATAGATCAGGAAGACGATAAGCGTGGGAATAGCCAAGGTTTCAGCAACAGCAATACGTGGAACAGTCGAATGAGTGCTCTTAAGCAGGCAGACATTTTTTCTTGGACGCGCTTGTGTGGGGTCGAGTTTACTCTTAAGACATGTGCACTGGAACCTACCGCCTTTGCTGGTGTTCACTCACAGGCCGTCTACGGTGATGAATTAGTTCGTGTTGACAATGAGCGGAATGTCATGACGGTCTCCTTTTGGGATCCACCGGGGCTCGTGGCGGATGAGGCGCCGGATACACGTGTCGTTGGCCTTGACGGAAGCTACAGCAGCATGATTACGCGCTGTCTGCGTCTGCCGTCGCGTCCGTTGCGAGTTCAGCCGAGCGAGCAGTGGCGTTTACCGTGGCGATACCGCAAGACTCCGTTTTTGACTTGGTGTGACCGCCTGACTGCGCTTTGGCCTGTTGGTCCAACGCTGCTTTTTCCGTGCGCCGACGGCAGTCTGCACGCTGCGGGGGAAATTCCCAGCGCCTTTGCAAGTCCGCTGCTGCGGTTGGAGCAGCGCATCACGGAGCTGTACGACACCACCCTGAGCCTTTCCCGACAGGGCTGTGGTGCCGGTTTGCGCCGCACATACCACTCGCTTAGTTTTGAGGCGGAGGGCGCCGTGCAGAGTGCCACGCGAGTGCTGCGTAAACAATTTGTTTTGTATGGCGATGCCATTGAGGAGTTCTTTCTGCTCACGCGCCTCACGGAGATGCCGGATCCGCGACTGACGGCGGAGGAACACGAGTGGGTCACCCGCAAGAAGCAACTGATGGATGCCCACGTCAAACACGTCTGGGAGGAATACGCCGGGGAGCTGCAGGAGGTGGACGTATGCGACATACTGCACCTTTGGTGAGCCACGCCGCCGAGACGCGGTGGAGAGGTGGGGAAGGGGGAGCGGCGCTGACAGACAGAGACAATTGCCGTACTCTGCTGTCGTCCAAATTTTCTTCCGCTCTTCTTCTTCTTTATTGTTTTTTTTTGGCAAGCCCCAATAAATAGTTTTGCACGTGCCTGCTTGCAGTGTTTTTGCGATGCAAGCGACTGTGGAGGGACGGGATGTACTGCGTGAATCTCCTACCTTGTGTCTTTGACTACTGTGGCTGCTCACCTCATTCTTTTCTCTTCTCTCTTTTTTTTTTTTTTTCTTTTCCCTTCCCTCCCCTTTTCCTCCTCCCACCCCAAGTCCAGAATTAAAAAACATAGGCGTGCAGACGCAACGAGAAGCCCATAAGGGGGCGAAGGCGAAATACAACAACAAGAAGAACAACACGCTGGCCAAGAGCGGAAGGAGGGAAGGAAGGAAGAGAGAAAAGTGAAGAAGTGAAAGGGGAAAAAAAAAAAAAAAGAGAGAGAAAAAAGGGGTTCCAATCGGCGACCGATTGAGTTTTTTTTTTTTTCCGTTTCTTTTTTATTTGAATTTCAACATAGCGCCTCCTCACTCAGTCATTCTTTGTTTTCTGCTAGCAATCATTTTTGTCATTCCTGCAGCAGCGGCCTCCTTGCGAGGGAAGTGAGAAACAACACGAGGAGTGTGTGTGTGTGTGTGTGGGGAAAGAGAAAAAATATATATTTATTTATATTTGTCAGTTTTTTTTTTTTTTTCTTTTCCTTTTTTTTTTTTTATTGTGTGATTTTTTGTTTTTGTTTTTGTTTTTTGGGTTTTTTTTTTCTTTGTTTTTTTGTTTATTATTTTCCCCCTTTGCGTGCGTGGCTTGTGGTGCCTGCTGCGTTTTTGTTTTTTGCGTGATTGACCGTCGAGTGCTGCTGCTGCTGTGCGACCCCCATCAGGCGTCCTGCGACCCACTGGCTGCGCGGACGAAGACGGGCTGACGCACGCGTGAGGCGAGGAGCGGACCACCAGCGAGAGGACACACGAGGCGGCGGCGGGGGGCGGGTGCGCCAACAGCAGCAACAGGAGGAGGAGGACGAGGAGGAGTTTCAAGTTGTGTGAGTGAGTGGACGGGAGGCGACATCTAAAGAAAAAAAAAGAAGAGGAGGAAAGAAAGAAAGCGTAGAGAAAAGGAAGAGAAGGACGCGCACTCACACGTGACTGGAGAGAAACAAAAGGGGGTGGAGGGAAGGAGGGGAACAACAACAACAAAAAGAAAGAAAAAGTGAGAACAGAAAAGAAAAGAGAAGAAAAAATCAACAGAAAACGAGGAAATAAAAAAAAAAAAAAAAAAAAAAAGAAAAAGAAAAATATAAAGAAAAGAGGTCAACAACAACACGGGAGAGAAAGAGAGAGAAAGAGCAAATTGGTTTCAGGAGAAAGTCGAGGGCGGTTGCGACATCGAATTTTTACCAAATGGATACGCAGAGCGCCGTTCTCTCGCAACTGCGACTACTGAAGCTGAGCAACGGGGCACGTGTTGTCGACTCGGTCCAGCGCCCCGAGAGCGCCCCCACAACAAGTGTGGCCGCCGCCCTGAAGGATGTCATGGGCGGCCGTGGCCTTTTCAATGCGGTGCCACAGCAGGCGGACACAGTCAAGGCAGGCAATAGCGGGCGCGGCAGCAACACCACCTCGCCAATGACTCTCGTGACCGGCAGCGCCGGCAGCAGCAGCCACCCCTCCATCAGCGAGTTGAAATTGGTTAGGGGCAACCAGGGCAGTGCTACTGCTACTGGTGGTGGTGGTGGCAAAACAACACGCAATATGCGTCCCACACCACGATCTTTGCAGCAGCCAATGTTGAATCAAGAAAAGGAAAAGGAGGCGGTCACCCCGGCGCAATCGCCCAACAACGCGTTGAAGCAGTTGTTACAGGCGGTTTCCAGCACCACCATTTCAACTTCACGGGATGCGGGTTCGTCGTCGTTCCCCGTAGCAATTGCCCTGAATAACGTCGAGCCCAGCGCTGTGCGAATGTCAACGTTGGTGGCAGGCACCGCAGCAGACCCAAAGTTGCTTGAGCCTATAGACAATTTCAATGCACAAAAACCAATCATTCGTACGGCACCCCCGTGTGAACATCGTTACATTGTTGTGGGGGATGTCCATGGCTGCCCTGAGCAGCTTGAACAGCTAATGCTAAAGGTAAACTACCAGAAGGGGAAGGACTGTCTCATACTGGCGGGGGATTTAGTCAATAAGGGACCCGACTCTATAGGAGCAGTGCGGGTGGCACAGAAGCTGGGCGCCATTGGAGTGCTAGGCAACCATGATAGTACGCTTCTCAATTGCATCGCCCGATGTCGGAAACCAAAACTTACTGTACAGGAGGAACTTGATCCCGTGATGCAGCTTGCGCTCTCCTTTCCTCAAGGTTGCCAGGACTATTTGCGTTCGCTCCCACACATACTGCGCATTCCAAAATATAATGTTATCGTGGTACACGCAGGGCTCAATTTGAATAATTCCATTGAAAATCAAGATGTGTTTGAAATTATGCATATGCGACGGTTAGAGAAGATTGGTGGTAGTGAAGATAAGAAGGCTCGTACCATTACAAAAGCAAAGTGGAAGGCGGTGGTAAAGGGGACTCGTGGGGAACCGTGGGCGGAGCACTGGAAGGGGCCGGAATTCGTTGTTTTTGGTCACGATGCCCGTTCCGGACTGCAGGAGCATCCCTTTGCGTACGGCATTGACACTGGCTGCGTCTATGGCAGCGAGTTGACATGTGTGGTGTACGGTCCTGACAGCCCCAAGGGCACCTTGGTTTCGGTGCCGGGACTGCCGAAGTTCACCAACGAGGAGCGTGGCCTTCCACCACCGGCAGCTCCCGTGTACGAGCAGTACATAGAGGATATGGAACGACAGATCCTACGCCCAACCTCGCGTGCTACACCTTCATTGATTACGAATGACTACAAACCGACATTCCTTTCCGTTCCTCCCACAACTTCATCCCCGGCAACAAGCAGCACCTTTCTTGGTGCCTCTGGAGGATGCGCCAATGGCAAGACGATTTCCAAGCAGTGCGGGGTTGAGCGGGCCACGCTGTTGGCTTTGAGCCGAGCAGGGGAGCTGACTGCAGTGAATACGCTTATGAGTCTCCCGATATATGAGGCGGCATGGATGTCAATGCTAAATAACGAGGCGGAGGACTGCACAAGTACTTTTTGGATTCCCTTTGTTCAGGGAATTGTAACAAAATTGCTAAACGTATCTGCGGAGTTCCCCATGGATTGCGTGGATGACGTGCTCCAACTTGCCTTGGAGGTATGCGATGAACTGGAAACCGTGCGAAAAATTGTTGCCCCCCAACTGCACGTGTTGCTGACGCGTGAAAGGTCCGGGGCCATCTCTCTATCGAAGGCTACTATGAAACTTTTGCGCCTCATCACGATGACGCAGCAGTGAGCACCGAGGCGTCTCCAAGTGAAGGTGCGGACATCATAAGAAGAAAAGGCAGAAGGAATGAAATCTTTTTTTTTTCCTTTTTTTTCTTTTTTTTCTTTTTTTTAAAGGGAAAATCAAACAAACAGACAGACAGAAAGAGGGGGAGTGG